TATCTACCATGGCAAAAGCAGCTTGGAGCAGAACCTTGAAATCCTGGGTAAGTGCAAAAACCACACCCCAGGGGGAGAGAAAATACTTCTGTATTTTGCGGGAGAAGAGATTTCTAGAGTAACTCTGGGCCTTGTCAAGTACGACTTTGAAGGCCTGATGAAGGTCAAGGCCTGATGGGGGCTTAGGACCAGGCCAGGAACAGTAGGTTGGGAAGCTGGACCCATGCTTCTTGTAGGGCCCTAGTTTCTCAGGAGGAGCCACCACTCAGGAACAGGACCAACGCTGTGGAGGGGCAGCCAGGCAGTGGAGGGGACCTCCTTCACCACTGAGTGCATGTTCAGATCATCTTGAGCGTGGTGAGGCTGGGTGATAGCAGTGGGCAGGCAGACATTTGGGGCACAGGCTTTGGGGTGGGAAATGGAGCAGAGAGAGACTTGCCAAATCTTGTCCAGGAAGGTCTGAGTCATCCTGCTGAAGGCAGCTGCCATGAGGGTGGAATGTCACTGAGGTGGCCAGGATGGGAGGCAGGATAATTCAGCCTCCGCACCTCCAAGTACTGTTTGGACTTGGGAGGGCAAGAATGACAGCCACTGAGAGCAGGGTGTGACAGGACAGGAAGGCACGGTTCTCCAAGGGAAGCCCTCTATGCCTGACCCTGAAAACAGCCAGCCATGGTGACAGACCACAAGGGAAGGAGGGAAGGAACAGCTGCATTTGTTTGGCCAAGCCTCTCAACCAGCGATGTTTCCTTACTGAAGGTTTCAGACACAGGATACCGAGTTAGATCAGAATTGAAGGTAAACAACAACAATAACAACAACAACAACACCACACACACACAAACTCTCTAAGTGTGCTCCTAATACCACATTTAAAAAATTTGCTAAATCTGGCAACGCTCTCTTTATCAGGTCTGTGAACGGCCCTTAGTTTTCTACCATCAAAACTGAATAAACAAGACTTTTCCTGGAGTTTTTGGAAAAATTACATTGCTGGCTAGAAAGGTCTTAATGTAGGGTTTCCCCCTTCTGTAAGGCTTTCTTCAACTTTGTGTACCTGTTGTTGCATGTCGGCACTAGAATCTAACCTAAGCTGACAGTGTATTTGGCACGAGCTGTTGATGGGGTTATTTGACACAGATTATATAGAACCCTGCATCTCAGGGGAGGGGACAGGACTCCCAGGTGCTTTGTCACTTGAATGTATTCTTTGTTCCAAGGAAAATTCAGTTGTGTGGAGGAAATGAGGATGAGTTGTGGGTCTCCCAGGGTCCTGGGTGACCGCTGGGTGCTGAGTGGATCTGAAGAGGTTAAAACATGGAATGAACACTTCTTAGGTGCCTCTTCTGGTGGGAAATTCTGTAGGATCTTGGTGTATGGACCTTAAGGGTGGAAGAGGCAGTAGGAGAAAACCAGAAAGATGGAGCTGAAACCAGCAGGCTGCTCTAACAGACAACCATCGGCCTTCTGCAGAGATCTTATTCTTGTCGGTACCCATTTCTGGTTGGCCTGGCTACCTCAGAGGCTGCTGTCTGGTTTGTTTCCTTCACTATCTTTGGGGCCTTTGGGTGGTGGTGACCAGCATGTTCTGACCAAAGCCCAGAGAAGCATAAAGGAGATACTCTGCTTGAAGAACTCACTCCCTCCTTGGGCACATTGTGACAGTAATGCCTTGTGCACAGAAGGGACTGTTCAGAGCTGGGCAGAAGGAGACTTGGGCTTGATATTTCAGGTCTTTGCCCATGGAGAACCTTGGTTTTCAGATTGAAGTTCATTTCAGGGTGCAGACTTCTTTCTGTCAAAGAAGGGGCCAGAAACTCAGGGGTTGATGTTGAACTTGGTGGCCTTTCAAGATGGGCTTGGGGAAAGACCAGGACGCTTTCCATTCCTATGGCAGCATTCCCCTTCTTCCCCTGCCCCCAAGCTGGGATCATGGTGGACAGGGCGTCCTGTCAGCACTGCAGCCTGCAGGTGGGGTGAGAGTTTTTGGAAGCTTCTAGAGTAAGGGTCAGAGGCCAGATGGAGACTCCTAGCTGAGGGGACTGCTGCAGCTTTGGACACAATCCCGGACCATGCTCTTTGAGCAGCTGTCTTTTCTCAGACAGCTGGGTTAGGCCTCTGAATTAGTATTCCATTAAACCAGGGCAAGTGGTTTGTGCCCTGGAAACAGCACTGGACTGGGGTTCTGACTACATGGGTACTAAGAGCAGTTTCAGTCTCTTAAATCTGTGAAATGACTTCCTGTTTATCAAGCCCCTTTGGATGTAGTTCTCACAATCCCGTGATTGTGGCGTTATGACCTCCACAGACCTATTGTGAAAGCTGAGGCTTAGAGGGATGGAGCAGCTTGAACTTAGTTCTCGCTGAGTCCAGGCTCAGGGCCCTTCTGTTGTGTGCGGAGGGGGTTGGCTGTGCAGTCAACAATAAGGAAAAAGGCAGGACACTGAGGGCAGCTGAAAGACTTTCTCCTTTGACGAGCTGGTCCCCTGCTCCAGGGAAGGTACATTCCTCTCCCCACAACCCTAGAGGCACCTCTCTGGTCCACAGTGGCCCTCTTGACGCTCAGGTGAGAATGATGGGGACATCTGGACATTCAGATCAGTAGACTCCTTGCTTATTCAGTTGTCCTGAGAGAAACCTAGAATCAGCTTCAGATATGGATCACACAGTACAGGGGTTAAAACAAAAAAGAAAATGAGAATATTAACTTCAGATGCCTACCAGCCAGAGATCCCAAGCAGAGAAGAACTGTGCAAAGGGCTTGGTGAGGGCTGCCCTTGGGCCCATCTTGCAGGACAAGGATGCTGTGTCACAAACAAGGTAAACAGAGGCATGGGTGTATTGAGGACTTGCTTGAGTGGGCCCAACAGAGACAGCCAGACTCCACACTAGTCGTCCCAGAAAATGAAGTGGGGGGTGCTTAGGGGAGGTTGGGTCAGAGCCCCAGTCTTGGTCCTGAGAGTCCAGTGGTTCTCATCTGGGGGTGGTGGTGTCCGCTGACCCCCAACCTGGGGGACGTTTGGCAATGTCTGCAGACAGTTTTGGTTGTCAACGCTGGGGCGGGGGTGGCTACCAGCATCTGGCGGTAGAGTCAAGGGACACTGTCAAATATTTTACAATGCACAGGAGAGCCCCAAACAACAAAGAATGACACGGTGCAAAGGGCTGAGTTAGGGAAACCCCATGGCAATCCAGTCCTAGGCCTTGCCAGGAGAACTGGGGAGATTGGGTGGCTGTGGGGAAGCCATGGCTGGGGCAGCGGGCGCTCTGGAGGGCTGATGCTCTGCTCTTGCTCCCAGAGGGGCTGCACAGGGGCCCACTGCCAGCTGCTCCTGGACATCTTGTCAAGGTGTCCACCTTGCTGGGAGAGGCGTGTTCACCACAGCCAATCCTCCCTGGATAATTTCAGAGAGAAGCTTATAAAATATTTTAAGAGGCTGGCAAATTACAACCTTAGAAGCACATAAATGCTTCCATAAACGCCAGCTTTGCAAACCAAGCGTGTGTGTGGGCAGAGTAAGCAGGTTGCCCAAGCCTTGGGAAAGTCCACGTTTCAAGGCGGAAGACCCAGGTTTATCTTTGGTCCCTAATTCTCAGGTTCTTCTCTCTCGGCTTGCTTAACTATCTGGCAGTATTTAGCTTTTTTCTTTGTATTCCTCCTTTGTCCAAAGAATCTGCCATTGGCCATTTCTGTGACCTGTTAAGGGACCAGGAGGGTCAGAGCAGGTTGTTCTAGGGTACTGATTTTACCCATGAGGTTCAAAAAGCTGATGGCCACAGAGGACACTGCCCTCCAGCTCTGCCCAGTGATCCAAGCTCGCAGATTCCATAATAGCCGGAGTCTATGATGATGTGTTCATTGACTGAGGGACTGGCTATGAGGCACGCTGCCCTGCTGTGCCCGGTGGGCAGACAGACCATTCTCAGCAGTGCCATGTGAGTGCTCACACTTATGAACCTTTGCTGGTCACAGCCATAAACCATCATCAAAGACTGTCAACCTAACCTAACCTAACCTAACCTAACCTAACCTAACCTAACCAACCAACACTTCTGCAGGACCCAGTGGATTGCAAAACACTTTCACTTCTTGTTCGATCCTCCTTATATCTGTGTGAAGCAGGTGGGACAGAATGACGATCTCTACTGTTCCGATGAAAACACTGAGGTTCCCAGGGAGGAAGTGGTCCCCTGTAGCACAGGGCAAATTAGTAGCAGAGTCAGGATTTGAACTAGGTCTCCTGTCCCTAAATTCTGGGTACCCAGACTTGACCCCAGTTGTGTGGGGAAGCAGTGGGGCAAGGAAGTAGGATTTGGTGTCAGAGAGACCTTGTTTCAGACCCACGCTCTGCCAGTCACTTCCTGTTCACCCTGAGCAAGCTATTAAACCATTCAGAGCCCCAGTTTCCACATTGGTAAAAATGAAGATAAAATCAGCCACCTCTTAGGATTGTTACGAGGTGTAATGAAGTAACAATGAGCCTGGTACATCACAGGTGCTCCCTGAATTTTAGTTCCTTTGTTCCCTTTTACCATCCCAGCAGCCCAGGCAGGGGTGAGCAGCTATGAGGGCTGGCGGCAGTGGATGGGGGTGACAAGGGACAGACGAGGCTCCCCAGGGGAAGGGAGATGGAGAGAGCAGGAACCAAATGTCATTCGTGCAGCCACTCCCAATTTATGGGATCTGGTGCAGAGACTCTTTGAAGAGGCAATAAAACTCATATTCTGCTAGGAAATGACAACAGTGGAGAGTCCTGACTTAGCAAACCAAATTCAACAATTTGATTTTTTTTTTTTTACAAGGCATGGCGTTCTGGATGGGTAGCAAAAATGACACTCTAATGAGATTAGCTTTCTGGGATAGGAATAGGCTTTCCCAAGAGCAAGAGATGTGTACCATGCCAACACCCCATGGAGAGTGTATATAAATGTTCCACAGAGGCCTTGAGAGTCCAGAACCCGAGCTCCTTGCTAAGCTGCAACCTTCCTCTGCTAGCACCATGGCCACCCAGACCTGCACCCCGACCTTCTCCACTGGGTCTGTCAAGGGCCTCTGTGGCACAGCAGGCGGCATCTCTCGGGTGTCCTCCATCCGCTCTGTGGGCTCCTGCAGGGTCCCCAGTCTCGCCGGTGCCGCGGGGTACATCTCTTCTGCTAGGTCGGGCCTCTCTGGCCTTGGGAGTTGCTTGCCTGGCTCCTACCTGTCTTCTGGGTGCCACTCCTCTGGCTTTGTGGGGAGCGGGGGCTGGTTCTGCGAGGGCTCCTTCAATGGCAGCGAGAAGGAGACCATGCAGTTCCTGAACGACCGCCTGGCCAACTACCTGGAGAAGGTGCGTCAGCTGGAGCGGGAGAACGCGGAGCTGGAGAGCCGCATCCGGGAGTGGTACGAGTCTCAGATCCCATACATCTGCCCAGACTACCAGTCCTACTTCAAGACCATCGAAGATTTCCAGCAGAAGGTGAGGGAGACCTGGCCCCTCTCCAGTTGAGCAGCCCAACTCTTAGGAGGTGTCTGTCTCATTCCAGGGCCTTTCCAGATGGGACAGTAGCTTTTAGGGAATTCTCCTGGCAGGGCAAATTTTCTCTCTAGGGCTTTGGTTTACTGGGAGACTCAGGCTTCTCTGTTGGTCTCTTGCTTGTACCTTGTTGCCAGCCATTCCTCACCCCTGTTCCCTTGCTGTAGGAAGGGAAGGAAGATGTACCAAGCCCCTACTGGATACAGCACTGTGCCCGATACTTTCCTATTCCCTGACTTATTTATTCTTCATCTTGGAGAGATTGGTATTACTGGACCCATCTAACAGATGTGGAAGTTGAATTTTGAGGGGTTCAGCAACTTGCTCAAGATCACACAGCCTGAGTGTTAGATGCAGAATCTGAACTCAGGTCTGCCTCACCCTGGTGTATCTCACTGTGCCACTCTGAAGGCTACAGGTGCCAGGACCGATGGCCACTGACATCCTTGGGATGCCCCTGTGGGGTGGATGCTCCCCTAACACCTGGGGTGTGGCTCAGGGCTGGAAATGCTGAAGGTGCTGGTGGTACATAGTAGCGTGGCGTCTGTGTGCTGAGCTATCCCCCTACCTGCCCCCACACTGCTGGGCCTCCTGTAGCTCAGGGGAAACCTCTCATTCCTCAGATCCTGCTGACTAAGTCTGAGAATGCCAGGCTGGTCCTGCAGATTGATAATGCCAAGCTGGCCGCTGACGACTTCCGGACCAAGTGAGTGGGCCAGATCAGGGAAGGTTTGCCATGCCACTTCCTTGCCTCTATCCCCTGCCTTTGGGAGCTAGTGAAGCGAGAATAAGGTTGGATGGGAAAATACGGCATGAGCCCTGGACCTCAGGGAAAAGGACCATCATGCTCCTGAACCGTCAGTCACTGCAGCTGGACAGTAGGGCAGGGGGCCCTGCTGGTGTGTGGTTTCCTTTGCTACAGACTTGGCAGGGTTCTGTGTGTGCAGGTACGAGACAGAGCTGTCCCTGCGGCAGCTGGTGGAGGCCGACATCAACGGCCTGCGTAGGATCCTGGATGAGCTGACGCTGTGCAAGGCTGACCTGGAGGCTCAGGTGGAGTCCCTGAAGGAGGAGCTGATGTGCCTCAAGAAGAACCACGAGGAGGTGAGGCGGGTGCCACGTGACCTCCCATTGTTTCCCATCCAGCTTAGGGAGCCACTGCTGGGCCTTGGGCTTACTGTGTGGCAGGAACTATACAAAACCCTTGCATTTCATTCTCATTTCATTTCATCCTTACAATAATCCCAAGAATTATAAACTGTTACAAGCTCCAGTTTACAGATGAGAAAACTTAGGCACAAAGAGGTTAAGTTGCTTTCCTAAGGTCATAGAGGGTCTACACTTTTGCCCATAATACTAAATTTCTATTTGGGCTCTAGTGCCTGATAACAGCAATTTAATTTGCCTAGGGTTTGTATCATCTCACAAATATCCCACAGAAGGAGGGAAGTAAATACGGACAGGGAGACCACAGATCAGAGAGATTTAAGTATCCTGTCTAATGCTATGCGGCTGGTGACTGAGGGAAGAGGGTTTGAATTTAGGTCAGTGAAACCTGCAATCCAGCATCCTTTTCGCAACCTCATGCTGTCTTACCTCCTCCCTGCAGGAAGTCAATGTGCTCCGTTGTCAACTTGGGGATCGACTAAATGTGGAGGTGGACGCTGCTCCCCCAGTGGATCTCAACAAGATCCTGGAGGATATGAGATGCCAGTACGAGGCACTGGTGGAGAATAACCGCAGAGATGTGGAGGCCTGGTTCAACACCCAGGTGGGGCCGGGGTGCCTTGGGACCACAGGCTCCTGGGCTGGGGTTACCTTTGGAAGTAGCTTGGTTTGACCATGCTCTGGGCCCTCGCATGTGTTTCAGACCGAGGAGCTGAACCAGCAGGTGGTGTCCAGCTCGGAGCAGCTGCAGTGCTGCCAGACGGAGATCATCGAGCTGAGACGCACGGTCAACACCCTGGAGATTGAGCTGCAGGCCCAGCACAGCATGGTGAGTGGCCCCTGCCTGCGTGGCTGGCCACGGCCTGCCGCAGGTCCCCGACGCATCAGCCTCAGCTTGCAGACTCTCTTGGGGTGTGATCACAGGCAACAGGCAGATGCCCAGGACTGTGGGTTTCTGGGGTACGGGATTCCTCGCCATGGGCAGCTCTTTCTCTTTCCCATTGCAGAGGAATTCCTTGGAATCCACCCTGGCGGAAACTGAGGCCCGCTACAGCTCCCAGCTGGCCCAGATGCAGTGCCTGATCAGCAACGTGGAGGCCCAGCTGTCTGAGATCCGCTGCGACCTGGAGCGGCAGAACCAGGAGTACCAGGTGCTACTGGACGTCAAGGCCCGGCTGGAGGGCGAGATCGCTACCTACCGCCGCCTGCTGGAGGGAGAGGACTGCAAGTGAGTGGGCTGGGGGAGGGCTTGACTGAACCTCAGTGCCATGTGGAGGGCGTCAAACCCAGAAGTGGTTGTCACCCAGATGAAGGGGACTAAACCAAAGCCCCTTGAGATTCTCCATCTAGTCCCAGGCATTGGTCATGCGCAGGGGGAGAATCCAATCCAACACACGCCGCATGTTTTCTGCCATCTTTTCTGATTGGCAGTTTCTGCTCTTAATTCCTGCAGCTTGGTCTTCTTACCCTTGGGAAATTCAGGGCACTGAGATGGTCTGAGGCCACCTGTCTCGCTTGATCCTCTAGATCTGTTTAACACAAATCTCAGCCCAGTACTCGGATGCCAAATGCACCGTGCATGATTTTGTTTCCTCAGGCTTCCTTCCCCACCTTGTGCCATGGCATGCAAGCCTGCTATTAGAGTTCCTTCTGTCCCCCTGGTGCCCTGTGCCCCTGCTGTGCCCTGCACCTCGGCTCCCCAGGTTGGCACTCAGATCCGCACGATCACCGAGGAGATCAGAGATGGGAAAGTCATCTCCTCCAGGGAGCACGTGCAGTCCCGCCCGCTGTGACAGTCCACTTCGTCCACCAGGGCAGGGCCCCGACCACAGGAAGGAGGACACCCCTGTGGCTTCTGGCTGCTTAATGACCCTGCCCTTCCCTAGAGGGGTCCCCGTACGCTTAGCAGGTTTTTCTACTAAAAATACTCCCCGTATTGTGTTTCTGGACTTAACTGTGCTTTTACGCCATGCAAAACCAGGTTTCCTGGAAATTTACCCAATAAAGTGTGTTCTCCTGGCATAGCAAACTCAACCCTGGCTGACTCTGTTGATGCTCATGTGCTCGTATGGTTCATGGGGGTGTTTGATCAGGGGCTGCAGTATAGTTGTGGGGTTTGCATTTAGGTCTATCTTCTCGGGCTCTGAGTGGAAGGCGGTGGCAGGGTGATTTCAAGTATTTAATAACAAAGAAGCCTAAGGACCTGGCCAATGAGAACAGACACTGACCTAGTCTGGATGGGTGCTGACCGTAGCTCTCAGCTTGGCCCTACCAGTGAATAGACATCTACTCACAGTGCCTACCCCAGAAGATGCAAAGGCTCCCGAGCCAGTCCTCCTTTGTAGCCCGACCTGGATTCGTTGGCTATCTCTCTTTTACTTTCAACTTCCCCTCTCTTGTCCAGCTCCTGTCATCCTGCTCCCTGATACTGGGGATGGTTCAGGAGAGGAGATCCCAGGAACAAGCAGAGAGGGCTAAACTCTAGGCACTCAGCCTGAGCCAGCCACGCCGGGGCAGGCAGTCAGGGAGAGCAGGGAGGTGAAGGTGGAGGGCAGGTGAATCCATGTACCAACAAGGCACACAGGGCTGAACTGAAGGGTGTCGGGGATAGTGGGGTGGGGGTGGGAGCTCAGACATGGAGTGAGGGGAGAGGACAGCCAGACTTCACTGTGGAGCAGAGGTCAAAGCCCTGGATTTCACTGGCAGACCCGAGTCAGGCAGGTCTGTGGTGGGGCCTGACTTTGCCAGACCTGGACATCCCTCTGATCAGAGAAGCATGGCCTGGGAGAGGTCTGAGGGCCTTACGGTTGGTTCCTTTGCTCCCTGCTCCAGTCTTCACTTGAGAAAACAGGCCCAGAGAGGGCAGTGACTTGTCCCAGGCCACAGAGCAGTGAGTGGCAGAGACCTGCCTATCACCCGGCTATTCTGACCCTGACTCTGAAGCACTTCTCAGCAGTTTCTCTCTCTCTGTCTCTCTCTCTGTCTCTCTCTCTGTCTCTGTCTCTCTCTGTCTCTTCCCCCCTCCCCCTCTCTTGCACTCACTCTCCTCTGGGCTCTCCTCTGGGTCATGGTCAAGACCTCCACGACCTGGCTCTGCCTCATGTCATCTGCTATTTGCTGCTAAACGGGACTCTTCAGTCACTTGCTGAGCAAGCCAGAGGTGCAGCAAACACATATCAGACCCCGGGAGAAGACATGCACAGGTAGCATCAGAGCATCCTGCACTGAGCTCGACTCTGCCGCTCTGTGGTACATGCCCGGTTATATCATGAGACCTATCTGGTCTCAGCAGGTTCATCTGTGAAATGGGGTGGCCGGGAAGTTCCAATGAGACAGTGTGTGTGTAGCTTCCAAAAAGTGGTAGCTGTCAGTGTTGCTCTTACTACAAATGCAGAGTCCCTGGCCTCAGGGTGTCAAACAGGAACCCCCACTGCGAGGGCCAAGCTCTTTGCTTTGTATCTGTCAGGATGCTACAGTGGGGGCTCTGCTGCCAGCAGTGTCCTTGGAGCTGGACAGTGAACCCAAAGGCCTCAGCCTCAGAGGATGCACCTGGCTTCTTTGGGCAGGGGGGCAGTCGGCATGGTTCTGTCATCTGCCCTGCCCCTTGCCCCTCACTGCTCCACTCATGCTCTGAGGCCTAAGGTCTGCACCCCTGCCTCTGGCCTGAGGCTGGAGTCTGTGCGGAAACAGACAGGGGTCCTCTGTGTGGAAACAGACAAGGGTCCTCTGTGCAGAAACAGGCAGGAGTCCAGGAATGGACGGAGTCTCTGGGAAACCGCTGAGCTGCCTTGTCACTGTGGATGGACCACACAGGGCGTGACCTGACAAGTAATCATGTCATCAGCGTCTTGCATTGTACAGTGCTTTCCCTTTTTATGACCACTCTGCAGTTTACAGGGCACACTCATAGCCTCATCTGATGCACACGGTCAGCCCTGTGTGGCTGTGAGCTCTTTATTTATGCATCCTTGCCTGGCTTTTAATTACATTGTCCAGAGCATCTGTATCAGTTAGAAAACACCTCCTATCTCAACCTCACACACACCCTTAACTGAGTTGCAATTGAAATCACTGACCGATGTGCAAACCAGAATTCAACAGTGTTGTGGCGGTAGATGGCGACTGGTCTAAAGTCACACAGCATGTGGCTGACTTAGGAGCCTTCTCAGGTCTTTGGGCTCCTATTTCATTGATATCAAGAGAGAAATAGTAGAAAACATTCAATAAAATTTCCCCAGAGTGAATATGATGTTTTATTTCAAGGTGGTCTGGTTTTTCTGATCTTTTTTGTACTTTCCAGATATGCTATCTGACTGTCTTTCTCATTTACACATATACATCAATTAATCAATGAAGAGATAACAATGGAACATGGCATACACAGCCAATCCAATCTTAAGGCTCAGGCCTATCTAGGAAGCAGCAGGGGTGGCAGAAGCGGCTAGAACAAAGACTGGATAACAGGCACAGTTCCCAAGGAGCTCACGCCCAGCTGTGGACACACCTTGCCCCCACATTCCCAGCAGCTGCACTGGGATAGCAGGAGCAGGTGTGGGCAGGGTTTCAGGTTTTGGGGAAGATGAGAAATCATTGAGGGCTGGGATGATCAGGAAAGGTTTTAGGGCAGATTTGGATTTGATGGGCAGAAAAAGGAGGAAGGAGGGCAAAAAGTATTTTAGGGCTATATTTAGTGTATCCATGGAATGATCTGGGACAACCTGGACCACATTTGAGCAGAGTGCAAAGATCCTGTCAGGAAAGTCACTAGGAATGTGCTAAACAATGTTAGCTCTTGCTGATAAGGGGTTCTAGATAATTATTTCATTTAAGAAAAGAATGCTAAAAAGGAACAGAAATAGACCAGACCAATTTACAAAATACCTTAAAACAGCTTGAAAAATATTACATATATGTTTTATAAAGTTATCTAAAAATCTTATCAAAAATTTTTTAGCCACACCTTTAGCACTAAATTGGCTTGTGGGATCCATCTCCCTTGGGCGGAATGGCTCTCGGCCCAGAAAACACTTTGTTCTTGGCCAAAGGGGCTGATTAGTCTGGACAGGTGCTGCTCACCTATACAGAGATGCCTGATCCCCTTCCATCTCTGAGTCTCAGTTTCCTCATTTATAAAAGTAGGAATAGTAGGGCGGGTGCGCTGGCTCACGCCTGTAATCCCAGCACTTTGGGAGGCCGAGGCAGACAGTTCACAAGGTCAGGAGACTGAGACCACCCTGGCTAACACGGTGAAACCCCGTCTCTACTAAAAATACAAAAAACTAGCCGGGCGACGTGGCAGGCGCCTGTAGTCCCAGCTACTCGGGAGGCTGAGGCAGGAGAATGGCGTCAACCCAGGAGGTGGAGCTTGCAGTGAGCCGAGATCGTGCCACTGCACTCCAGCCTGGGCAACAGAGTGAGACTCCGTCTCAAGAAAAAAAAAAAAGTAGGAATGGTAAGACTGACTGTGTTTTCCTTTCCCCGCTCCCTACTCTCTTTTGTTTCCTTCCATTCTTTCTTTCCTTTCTTAACACAATTCACCATGGGAAAATCACTTAATTAATTAATTCATTCATAGACATCTAGAAGCCCAGCACTGTGCTTAACACTACAGAGATTTCAAAAAAATGTACAAGGTCAATCCTTGCCCCCATGCTTACAGTCTTCCTGGGAAAATAGGGCTGAAACACAAGACAATCAGATGTCAGTTAATTGGAGGCCAGGAAATCCACTGACAGTCACGGCCTTGGGCATTCAGAGCTGGGAGGGCACAGCAGGGCTGGAGCAGGGCCCAGGCTCCAGAGGGAAGGCCTGACCAGGACTGGGCCCTTAGAGGCAGTGGGGTGGGCCTGTGGTTTGGAGCTGGAAGCCCTGGGCTTTAGCCTCACTGGGAAGCCTGTGTGGACCTTGGTTAAGCCATTTTCCACTTTGACCATTGGCTGCTTCTGCAGGAGTCAGCACCTTTCTATCCACAACTGTGTTGCACAGTGTGTGTGGGATCTTAAAGAAGATAGCATGCCTTGAACAGTTGTACAGATGCTTGTTCAGCTGTGATCTGGGACAGGCTCCTGCAACAGTCCAAGCCTCCTCTATTTAATGGGCTATTGGTGATGCCAATCTCACGAGGTTGTGTGAGAGCTGAATAAGAGAATGCATAGAGACAGATTAGCGTGGGGGCTGGTGGGTACTAAATGCTCAGTGAATGATAGTTGCTACCATCAGCCGGGTTATTGATAGGGCTGTGTGAAAAGAGCTCCAATTCAGGCAGCCAGAAGGAAGAGCTTCTCCATTTCTCAACCAGGACTGGGGAAGACACACCCTCCTAGATATCATCATGGGCAGGTGTCCAATTAACTGACCTCTAGGCATTGTGGCTGGAAGTTAGGCTCTACAACCTGGGCAGACTTCCTGGCAAGGGAAAGAGTAGGGAAGTGTCCATCAGGGCTCTGCAGTATCTAAGGTGACGAGCTACCCCATTTTGCCCAGGACTGAGGGTTCCCTGGCATATGGAACTTTCGGAACTAAAGCCAGAAAATGCCTGAGGAAACCAAGAAAATTGGTCACCCTAGTCATATTTTCTGGGCCAATTCAAGAGCCTTCTGTGTCTCCCTGGCCTCAAGACCCCTGCCTTCCTGCAGCAACCAAGTTTACTCTTCCATCTCCTGGGAGCACCCGGAGACCTCCTCTACTCCCTCGGGCCCATAAAAGAAGTCAAAGCCAGAGAAAGTCAAGACGGTGGCTGAACTCCCACGCCTGCTTAATGCGGAGGCTGAGGTCTGGGCTCAGATGACAGGTCCCTTTGAAGAACTGATGGGGACTTGGTCTTGCCAGTGATGTGGGGTGGTGGAGGTGAGTCTTGACATAGCAACGGGGCTCCCATTTTATGAGGCTGGTAAATTTTCACAGGAAACTAAATAACAGGTTAATGAGGGGTTTTAAAAGAAAGTGGTGTTAACTTTAATGGGGAGAAAACACTTTGTAAAGGCCAACCAACGCCCACTGGGGCAGAGATATAAATCTGGGGTAAGGAGCTGCTT